CAAATGCACAGGACGCGATTCACAAATAAATGCCAGGCAAAGTTGTGGTTGTGACATAAATATATATTTGTGAATATGTTTTTTTATTTGCAAATCTCATTTTATTTATTTGTGAATTTAATTCATGTTTGTGAAACTTTAAGATTTATTTGTGGATCTCATTCTATTTATTTGTCAATATGTTTAATTTTTGTTAATCTCTTTACATTTATTTATGGATCGTAATCTATTTATTTGGAATTAAGCAGCAATTCTATCTCCATAACAATTACATAATACAGCGTATTTTGAAAAGTGCATTTCTTCAAACCCAAGTCCTCATGACGCAACAATCAGATGACAACAAGAAGGCCAGTGATAAGAGACGCGCCGAGCCCTGATATCTATCATCTCTGAAGCACTGCATTCTTTGGCAAGGGCAACTCATGCGATCCTACTAGAACTGTGAACCCACACCATCTAGATGAGAGCTGATCAAGCCCCTCCAGCCTGATCCAGCTCCGCTCGAGAGCTCTTGTCATGTGAAGGTGGGTGTGCTGCTCTGTTTGGAGAGATGTGCTCTCTGCCTCTTCACTAAAGTTACATAAAAAACAGCTTCATTCCCTGAGCTCCAATCACATCCTGGTATTACGCATAGAGATCCACAAGCTTTGATTTGATTATTTATTTCTTGGCTAAAAAAAATGAAATGAGGAAAAGGGGATAGCGGAAACTGTGACGTGTGCAGCAAGTCTTTATGTTTTTCTTTATATAGTAACTTTCATCAATAAGTCATTAATCAAGATTATATAATGATTAATACATCACTAGCTCATGTGTATAGGCTGAACATATTTAAAATTTGCATGCACACTAACTAATGATCTCTGAGGCCATTTTTTTAATGACTATATAAAGTGTTAGATTTTAATAAATACACACGCGAAGTTTAAAATCTATTTTTAAATCTTTCAAGCACGCTCTAAGGGGTTAATTCTGAAGTTTCAAGCACTATGACCACAGTCAAATGTTTCATGCTAATGTACTCAAAACTAGAGCTACAATAAAATTAGTCGATGCTGACCACCAATTATACAGCAGCAAACCATTTGGCTTCGCAAAACAGGTTAAAACGCTGATGCGCGCTGTTAAAAGATAGTAGAGCGTGGGGATTGTGAGCGGTTTACGCACACAAAGCGAACATCTGTACTCTTCCTACTTAAAATATGCATTAAGCGGCTTTCTCGGCGCGATTACATAACCAAACTCGCTTAAACAAAAGGCACCGATCTAACAGATACATGGACAGCAGAGAAAGAAAGTGGGCAGCAAAAGGATATTTGGAGTTGGCATACACCTCCATCTCCCCTCAGAGGACACCAACCCTCACCAAACAAACAACACTTGGTAAACAGCATGCGACCTGCGTAAAAGCACAACATTTGGAGAGCTCGCTTTGCGCGAGAAGCTTTAAAAGCAACGTGCGCTTTATTTTTGGCCAAATGTTGGGATGATTTTGGCACGTACCCCCAAATCCAGGTCGGAGTCTGTTGTCGTATCCATCCAGAAGTCGGTCCAGAATGCGTGTGAAATTTTCCGGGTATAATTTCTCATCCTTTCTGATCTGTCCAGATATTCTCTTTATGCTAAAAAAAACACAGAGCAAACTGAAGCATTTTAACATTGCGCACACATGAAATAAACACCTATTTTTCGTATCAATCAACTGCACAAACAGTTCAAAAACGCCCGGGTTTGTCGTTTGTAACCTCGAGGCGTAAAGATGCCATGCGTAACGCTCACATCCAGTTGGAACTCACCAAGCCGCCACACACAGAAAGTAGAGGAGAGTGGAAATAGAAGTGGGGTACATCGCAGTCACCATCTCCTTCTTGGCAGAAACCATGTTTACATGCCATTCTTTAAGCCTTCTTCACATTTCCCTTCGCCAAACGTCCCGAGGAAAGATCGAGGAAACGTGCGGCAGCGCGCAAGACGCGCTTCACCATCACCCGCAAAGCCGTGCCAGCGAAGCATCCAAATCCAGAACTCGCTCTGCGCCCGATGGATCGCCTACATCCAAACCCCAAACTCAGTGGTTAAGAGAAGCATATGGTGAAGCATCCTGTGGAATCGTGAGTCTCGCTGTGAGGAGGTTAGAAGAGAGAGAGGAGGACGCGCTTGATTCCTACACACTCGCCTCAGTGCCAAAACTGGGACGTGCGTCCGACGCGCAACACACTCACGAGCGCACTTAAGAGAAGTCAGCCTGCGAACGTTTGTGCGAGATCACTTGTGATGTAGTGGCGGCATTGCGCATGAACTCACTTTTCGCAGCAGTTCTCATGTCCGATCTTGCCCGTGGTAAACTTTGACTTTGGGGGACGGGTGTTAATTGATCTTGGCAACTAAAAGGTGCAAATTTTAATTCTACCGTTCTTGGATTATAATTAAACCCGCTTTCATTGCAAGATTAACAGCGCCTGCTCTCTCGGAAAAGATCAAACTTATCCGGGCTTGTAAATATTACAGCATATTGAAATGGGTCAGTGTTTGTCGCAGCGTTACACACATGCTCGCGCACAATCCGAGGTACACTGTACAGGAAGTAGGACAAACCACACGCAGCTCCTGTACACCTGGGACAGGACAAAGTCGTCGATGTAGTATGCGTGTGTGCGCGTGCGTACTGTCCTGCAAAGAACATGCTTGGTTTCCCTCCTGGTCCCACACTCGATGGCAACCGTGAAAAGAAAAGCTAATTATCTCTTGTCCAATTGTTTTTGATAGCAATCATACCCAGCGATCCTTATCAGCACAAGCTGACACACACTGCACATGCATAATAACTCCAGTCTGTCACTATCACAGCGTATATAAAGCATCAGATTCGAGCTGATCCAGGATCAGCTGCCGTGTTGTATTTAGTTGGCTATAAAAAGCAAAACCTTATCCTCAATCAGCACTCTCGCTCTGCTTTATAGCGTATGATCCGTGGGCAGCTGGTGGCGTATTCACCGGCCTTATTCACAGGTTGTTCGCGTGCGAGAAAAGCTTATAATAAACATAATGAGCTATCACATTATGAATATGTGGTAAAATAATGAAGAACAAATAATTCTATTAGCCCTCCATGCAGGAGAGCCGCTAGCAATTTTGGGCCCTATGAAAGAATATGAGGTTGGGCCCCCTACTGCACCAAACATAAACTATATTGCCCAAAGTATTGGGACAACTCAATAAAACAAACAAAAAAAAAACTCATCGCCAAACACCAATGACTTGTACATATGTGTACACTCATTTTAGACACTTCCAAAACTGTGGCAACAAAGATGGAAATACAATTTTTAAATACATGAATTATGTTTCCATCGTTGATGCCACAGTTTTGGAAGTGCCTTTTTCTGTTCTAAAGAAGGGGGTGTCCCAATACATTTGTCCATATGTATGTACAAGTCATTGGTGTTTGGTGATGAGTTTTTGGCTCAAGGTCTGTATTTAAAGTCACACCAGAGGTGTTCAGCTGGGATTAGGACTTGGCTTTCTGCAGACCAGTCAAGTTCTTCCACACTGACTGAATCAATCTTTTTTTTTTTTTAACCTTGCCTTACACAGAGGCATTGTTGTGTTAGCATAGAAAATGGTCCTGTTCAAACTATTGGTATAAAATTAGAAGCACACAATTCCCTAGAATAGCATTATATGCTTTTTTGTTTTTTACTAAAAATGAGAAATTACTAAAGTAGTAAAACCTGTTCATTAGAAGGGGGTGTCCCAATACTTTGGGCAATATAGTGTACAAGCCAGCAGAGCTATTCAAAATCTTTGTCTGCAATTTAATAATATTGACCGACCTATTACTTTTGCTATTGCTTTTGACCATTAGGTATCAGTAACATAATTAATTCAGAACCTGTTTTATGGACATAGACTTTCTGTACCACACTATTCTGCTGATATGGAATGAGTTTGACTACTTAATCGGTTATATTAATATAAGTTGCTTCACTGGGGCAAACAAAAAAAAAATCCTAAAATAATAAATAGGATACCCCATAGCAGCATTTCCAGCAGTATCCAACATTTCTCAATCATGATCTTACTCAGCTAAATGTGACTTAGCTTAACAGCTGTATTCCTTGTTTGCTAGCTACCTATACACATACAGCATACAATGTTAAAAATGTTCTACATTATGAACCTTAACCCAAAAACCTTTAGCTTCATACACTGTAGATAATTGTGACCCTGCCTGTGGAAACCCAGCTAAAGTATTTTTTTGAAAGGGGTCATATAATGCTACATGCACTTTTACAAGTTGTTTGAACTGAAATGTGTGTTGGCAGCAACACATATTTCAGATAAAATGTGAAATGTAATTTTATCACCCTAAAATGATAAAAATCCACCCAGTGGTTTTTTGTTAATTTATTATGCAAGTTGATTCGAGATACAAAAAATGCAAAACTGCAAAGTCGCATTTGTCATCCGTCACCGTGACAGCAAGTGGACTTTTGAAACTGGAATAATGAGTGGATTACGCATTTCAATTGGCAAGAGAGGAATAACATGGATGGAACTTTCTTGGCAAGGAGGATTGTGTACATCACAGTCAGGTACAAGGGAGAAGGCTTCTTACATTAGGTAAGACAAAAAAGTTTAATTTTCGCAGCTTGTTTATTGACTTGTTAATAGCAATTTGCTGTGGAATATGTGCCGATCGGGTCCAGTCGGGTCTGTGTCTTCCCGGCCGGGTTCGGGTCCATCTTGCAAATAATTGATTGTGGATGTAATAATGAACATAGCAGTCGTCATTTACTCCCGAAATCTGAGCCGCTGAAGAAGCAGTGGATTACCTTTGTTTCTGAAGGGAATGTGTCCCCGATCTACATAAATGTGTCTGTTCGCACGAATCATTCATGATCCAGCTTCACCTACAGAAGAAGTGGTGAAAGGTTTTTTTAACGAATCTCGGCAAATCGCCTTTACTAATAATGTGCTAATTAGCAAGTTTCACGATGAATGCGGCTAAAGTAAACAGTCCCTCAGAGAGCAGCTCGGAAGAGAGGGGCGGGGTCAGCAGAGCTCATTTGCATTTAAAGGTAAATGCTTCAAAACTGCATGCTCTGAAAAGAGCTGTTTTTTTATAGGGTAAAAAATGTGTTTTTTACACTACCTTTGAGAAATTTTAACCAAACTATGTTACAGACTTTTCATTAAGACCCTAAAGAATCATATCAACTTGTGGAAAATGGGCATCCTATGACCCCCTTTAAAAAACAGTGGATGGGTAATTCACTCCTTGATTTGCTTAATAAAAGCCTCCTTTGAGATCGTTTTGACAGACATGTTTATTGTGTATTATTTTCAACGTGTTTATTGCTAAATTTAGTGTGGCAAACGGTGGCAAAATAATTAAATAATAATTTGCGTGCAGTGTATCTGGTTGCCATGACAATCTCACGCGCTTCCTGCTGCTGCTCTTCTATGTAATCAGAGTGCATTTGTAGATTTGCTATAGCAAAACTAAAATGTGTTTAAAAGTGCGACTGATCAAATCGTCGTCCCCCTCCCCCCCCATCTGATCTCACTCAGTGACTCTAGGCTATGTAGGATGGGACGAAATCATGCAGTGAATGGAGGGAGATAATTTAGCTGGAAATGCAGAAATAAGTAATACATTTAGTAAAATAAAAAGAAAAAATTAATTTAGTTTTATTTGTAACTCTTTGGTAGATACATTTATAATTTCTATTACATTACTACTACTACTGTTACTACTAATAAAACAGACCTCTGGGGGCCCCAAAATTGCGTGGGCCCTTAGAATCGCCCCTGCCTCCATGTGCTTTTGAGTGAAGAAACCTGGAGTTTGCAAAGTTGTCATCTTCATTATTAATTAGAGAGAAATGTTTAAATGCGCTACACTTTATAGTTTCATGCCATAATGCTTTTTTTTTCTCCTATAGTGATTATAATTTGAAGAGAATGAGGCTTTGGAGGCTTGTCCTAATTTTGATTTAAAATAAGGCAGCACAACTATTCTCTTTAGCATGAAGCAAACAGAAAATCTAATAGTGAAACTGCCAAATAACTTCTGTCTAGGTAACTGCAATTTTTGCATTTTTCATCAGTGCACATTGTTCTGAAAGTATTATAAATGTTTTTGTAAACCTTCATTAAACCATAAAAGCTTTCTCCACTTTTAAAATTATTTTTTTTCTGTTCTGCTGATGTAACCAAGGCTGCATGTTTAGGGAAACATAACAATATTATTAAAATCCAATAAAAACTGGATGAAATCACATCCTAATTTCAGACATTATGGAATTGAAATTACAATGAATAATATTTAAATGTGAAAAAAGGTCAACAAATGACAGAGAGGGGGAGTGTTCAGGAAACCTGTTTGAAAACAGTAGTTATTTATGCAATTCCATTTGGTGGGACTAGATGGACAGAAATTACACACTTTGCCCTTAAAAATAAGTTAAAGTGCATAATTGTGCAGAAATAGGATCAGACATGTTATAGGCTACCTTTGCTGAATAAGTCAATTAATCTACTAGTACATACAGTACAACTACTAACTTAACTACATTTTGTCAGTAGCAGAGCAGTAGCTTAGCACTTTTCATAATGCAGTTTTTCACATACCATGCAACTTTTCCCAACAATTAGTGGTGTAATGAAAAACTGTATTAATGATGTTAATGTCATGAATGAATTGTATTAATTAATGTTTATGTCACATATAATTGTGCAAACATTTTTTTTAGTCAACAAGCACTCATAAAGCACTGATTTTAGTGACTCAGTTGATTTGTTTAGATGGTTAATTAAGATTAACAGGTCAAATACAATTCAGATGGTGTGCTGCTATAAATAAACAGTGAGAATATTATATAATTTTCCACTTTTTTTCCACAGTTGACATCACGTCGTGTGTCAAGTGGTTTGATTTGCTTCAATTTTAGCAGGCAGATAGCAGATACACTGTTAACTGATGTGCATTAACACTCAGGAACATGCAGGAACATTGGGGGAACATTTAGGTAACGGCGCGTAGAGGTGTTAGCGAGTTTGAGCGTAGAGAGCACCAGAGAGAGCGAGGATAGAGGGGGAGAGAGAAACGAGAGCAGGGAAAAAGAGAGAGAGGCCGAGAGAGGAGAGGGCCCTTCTACTGCATGTTTTCCGAGCTCTTATGGAAGGACTGGCAAATGAAACTAATGACTCAG